GAGAAATAAGCTTTGCTAATGATTTGTAATCATTAATTTTTTAATATCAGAGTTGTGGAGTTTGCGGAGTTTGCCCACCTATTCTATAGAACATCTTATCTATGTAATATATCAAAGAAAGAACATTGTGAGCCACAAACTCATAGATAACAAATAAAATATGTATAAAACTTGCATACTTACAAATCGTTGAATGAGCATGCTACATCTTTATTTAGCTTCATTTGGATAATATCTTATTAATATCCTCATCAAAAATAATAGAAAAAATAACAAAAGAAGAGCACTGTTACATATTTCTCTACCCGCTATTTTTTATTATTATGCAATATCTTTAACCTGAAAATATATAATAATTTTTATTATATAATTACATATTATACTGATTTCTTATTTGTGAATTTAATCCATATGACATTCTCTCTTGAGACCATTATAACATATGTTTTACTTCAAATATTCTCGCAACTCATTATGCCCACGATATTATCTTTGAGACTTAGCCATTTAAAATATATACTTATTACTTTTTTTCGATACAAATTTTTATGCAATACCTCACTTACAAAGTAATTTTATATATATATATATTTATTTATTTATACAGCATACGTGTTAAAAATCAAAACTAGTGTAAGCAAAAACTTTATTATATCTTGCTATCTAAATTCGTTGCATAGTGCAATATACTCAATAATAAAAGTACAATGAATATTAAAATACAAATATTTGTTCTTCATTTTGCTTTAAGGGGATTCGTTAGTTGCAATTTTACTACAATGGTGAGATTTCAGTCTGAATTACTATTTTTCATTGAACAAATTTTGCATATTGCAGTGAAGATTTACAACATGATGCTGGCGATGAAAAAAAGGTCAGAAAAAAGATATTTAATATTTACAACAAAAGAATATTACGATTCTAGTTATTACTTTAAAATAAAACATTGATCTTATGATTTCTGACAGTTCACTCAATTGACTAGTGCTAGTGGGTATCACAAATTCATCAAATTTGTCTATCAGATATAAGCCACCAGAATAGTGCATCGAGTAAAAGTAAAAATTGTTTTCTATGAAAGTGATAAAATATTAAGTTTCTGGTAATTTAATAAAAAATAGAATATACAATTAGATTGTTACTTACTATACACAAGAATCTCTAACATTTCGGCATTGTTAAAATCATTTTTATTAGCTCTATATTCTCGCAATGCCTGTCGCAGTCGAAAGAGCCCAAGTTGCATTGCTATTGAAATTAAGACATACTAGAGTTACCATACTTTACTTAGTCAGAAAAAATAAAATAAAATAAAGAAAAGCCTCTACTTATACCTAAAAATTTTTTTTCTATCCTGCTCCATTTTGTATCATCATGTTCGCAAGCGTTGTGGACAAACTCTTCAAATCCTATTTGATATTCGATACTCTTCACCTTCATTACTAATAAAGCATAGTGCTCCCAACCAGTAAGCATGACGTATCTCTGGTAATCTATTTGAATTCTTCTGAGCCTTGCGGTCTAAATTTTTGACTTTGCCCCTATTAGCAATAAGTGGATTGCATTTAAGTTGTATAATCAGTTACGATTTGAAATAATTTTCTAAGACTTATGTTTTCATACAAATCACTTCGTTTATTTCCAGAAAAACATTTTCTATTAGAGGATTTACGATTTTATCTCTATATGAATATTCTGATAAATCGCTGTCAT